ATCATCAATATGATTTTTCCTTTTATAATTCAAAAAGATTTAATTCTGGGAAGACCGGAATTTGCCCTACAAAATTGCATTGTTAGGAAGTCTAATTTCTTAAAGAATTTTCTTAAAGTGTGTTTGCAAATATGAATACTTACAATGATAGGGGAAAAAATCCAAAGAAAAATAATAACAACTCTAAATAACTACATCTAAATTTCATCCTATTTAAAACTACTAAGATTGCAATAGGCAATCATTATAATAATTAGAGCACAAATATGCCGATGGAATAAACTAATACGCTATAGGTTGTGATTTCATTTTACTTTTAGTTGATAGCTTTACTTAGCCCTTTCCATTTGGTTACACGGTTTGTAGATTATTTGAAACTATATATTATGAAATTCAAACAAAATTTGAATATTTAGACTAAATTCTTTTGAAAAATATAGCTGAAAACGATAATATTATAAGAAGCCAGGAAAAGGATTATCAAAATTCAAGCATAAACAAGCTTTTGGCATTGCTGGATGAAATGATTTTCAGGCACTACATGCTGCTCTATTGTTTAATTTTAGGTAACATGTTTTAGTGTATTGAAAATCAGTAATATTTTACCTTTCTTTACTGCTAGTTTTAAAAATATATTTTCTGTCAGGTTAGTTTCTCTGTTAGATGTCTCTATCTCGTCATAAGTTCAGTTCTACTGCTACGAACTCGATTGCCTTTCTACACAGTTATTGATCTTTTTATGTCACCTATGCGTGAGTGCATGATGGCAAGAGTGAAATGTGTATAGTGATGATAAAGTTTGTTAAATAGGATTCATGGGAACAAACTAGCAGAGATGCCATTTGTTGCGACTGTTTTTTCTTATAGGAAGAAAGGAATGTTCGCTCGGCTTCTAAGAATAATTGAATCGGTAAGTTCGTTAACGTTATTTGTCTCTTTTCCTGGCATGTATATACTGCTCTATAACATTGTTCACAAGGTTTTGAAAAATTATCTGCAACTTTTTCGACTGTAGCCCTAAGGTCAAGATCTTTTTAGGTTTTCATGACTGTACTGTGGCTGCAGTTGTCCTATTTCTGTAGAATGTTTTAAAATATAAAAAATTGCCATGAAACCGCGACTATAATGTACATTTTTTTTGGTTTTTGTTTACTTCAAAACTAACTTTTGTTTCTATAACTATTTCTATTTACCAGCAACTCAGCCACCTCAACGTTGAGTTATTGGTGGTACCAACCGTGAAACAAACAAAAGAAACTTGGGTTCGTTCTTTTGGGTTTGAGCCACTCGATTTGAGAACAGAGAACATATTAAAGGGCGTGAATATGATGGTATGTCGTGGCACAGAAAAGTTACTGAAGAAGATACCAAAGCTTACATAAAGTTCCTGGTGAGAATTTGATTCATATAAAAGCTGCATTTTGACAGAGACTACTGGAAAATGTTGTGTATCCCTGGACACATGCACGCACACACTATACTAACATTGCATAAGCAAGTTGACACATTTTCTTTATCTAGGTTTGTGGAGGCTGACCCTTGGACAAGATACAAACCAAGTTCAATCTCAGAGGAGAAACATCATCCTAGATAAGACTGCTCTTTGCCTATTTTATCATTTGGTGGACGAAACTGTTTTACATTTAATGTTCTAGATCTGTTGTGGATTTACTACCTTAATTTGGAGTTATTGTTAATTAAAATGGATCTGTTCTAAGTGACATTAACATGGACACCAAAAAGTACTTTTTACAACTACAGAAAATTAAGACAACTTGTTCATTTGTCTGCTTTCTTTCAATTTGGTCACTAAGTTGGTGTTGGTTGCCCAACAGAATGAAAGGCAGATATGAAATGATGGTATTATAAGGTATTTGTTGAAGGAAAATGTTATTCCAACAACACTTTTTTAACAAAGTTTTGACAACGTGCACGTGGCAGCTTGCTATTGGCTCAGTAGGGGTATTTTAGGATTTTCACTCAAAATAAGGGTTACGGTCATAGATTTTTAAAAAAAAAAAATTTAAAACGAACCAATGAGGTGACGACACGTGGCGTTGTCAAAAGAGTGTTAAAAATCTGTTGTTGGAATATCGGGGTCCTTTGTTGAATGCTGTTATTTTTCATGCAAAAGATAGTAACCTTTTGCCCTTCTAATAATATTTTCAAAAAAGTCAGTAAAAAACAAGTTTTTTTGTTTTTACCAGAGAACCATATATAAATTTTAGGCACATTTTAAATAAATACATTAGTTACATTATTTATCTACGTAGTTACATAATTATATATATCCTACATTTTTTGTTTTTCTTAAGCATTTTCTAATTTATATGATATTTTCATGATTTTATTTCTTTATCTCTCTCTTCATTACAACATTCTTGTCGACACACACATAGAAGTGGAACTATTTTTTTTCATTTTAAAAATATATTTGAAGTTGTTTCTTAAAACATAATATGAACTAGAAAAATTAATGTAACTCAAGCCACTTTTGAAAGAAAACTTTAATATTTTTAAAGAAAATATACAGTCATATTTTAAAACATAATTTTAATATTGGTTAGAAAGTAATTAAAAGATAAATTGTAGTCTAACACGACTTTTTTTAAAATATATATATATATATATATATATATAAGATATATATATATATATATATATATATATATATATATTATATATATATATAAAATATTATATATATATATACTTTAAAACACTCTGTATTCGTTGTTTACATGTTTTAAAAAATCTATCTGTTTCCGTAATTGTGAAAAATTTCTCTATAAGGTAGAAAACCCAATAGGGCATATATTGACGAATAGCAGTTGGCATATGCTACACAGTAATAACAATTAGACTGTTCCTACAGCGAAACTGCTATTATTATTATTATGTGCAAGGTACCACGCAATTAAGTTTGCACTAAAAAATAAACACTATGAACTTCCTTTTATTGCCCCTGCCATTGTCTAGCTGTTTCCAATTCTTATTCTCTTATCTGCATGTGGCGTTTTCTGATGTAGCTATTCACTCTCTGCCTGCAAACCAGTCCATACGTACGAAGACGATTACTCCATGAGCCAGTACTATAATAATTTATTCACATATATTTATATCTGTCACAATTTCTCACAACTATGGAACACTTCAAGACTTAGGTGCTTGTGGATTTGAGGGAGTGGATTTGAGAGGATTTGAAGATAAATTTTTTTATCATTTATTTAAGTGAATTTGAAGGTAAATGAGAATGAATTTGGAAATAAAATTTGTGAGAATTAGTATAGAATTGTATTGACGTGATAAATTAAAAAAATTTATTTCCAAATTCACTCTCGTTTATCTCCAAATTCACTCAAATAAACGACAAAAATATTTATCTTCAAATCCTCTCAAATTACCTCAAATCCACTTTTTCAAATTCACTCAAAAGAACAAAGCTTTAAATAATAATATTATTAATGATCAACCTAGATCTAAGACAAACTGGAGGTTGATACTGAATTTCAACCTGCAAATTTTAACTACGTCTTTTGTGCACATCCTGATGAAACCTGACTGGGATCTATATATTAAGTATGACACAGAAATAAGAACAGTGGCATTTCAGCTCAATACTGTTATCATTCTTGAGTATTTTAAAGACAAAATAACTTGTGCTCCTTTGGAACATGCAGATTTCAGAGTTTGTTCTTTGTACTAATTCAACTACAAATTGGCTGTTTATTTCCCTTGATAGCCGAATCTTGTTTTCTACATAACATTTTTAAATGATCTACAAAATTCTGAGTTTCCCAAACCTAATGTATATAATGGACGAAAGAAATAGAGTTCTCCATGTATGTTAAACGAGTCAGTAAATTATTATATTAATTGTCAGAGAAATAGAAAACATTCGTGTGATATTGTCTATAAATTATAAAGTTTGCTCTGGAAGTTCGTAAATGTGATTTCTTAAACCAAAGTGAAATTTAGATTCTCTACTGATACTTTTAAACATGATAGACACTAATTTTAATGTTTTAAAATATATTAAAAAAATTTAATATACCAACTATCAAGATGACGGCAAAAAAATATTAGTAAAAATTCTAGACTCCTAAATAATCCAGTAGAAAATCTTTAATCACCAAAGTGTCGGTTCGAGTGAGAATGACTTAAAATCCTAAAACATGTTATTTTGAGTTCAATATATAAATGCATATTAAATGTTGAAATAATGGTATGGAAAAAATGTGTATTTGTTCTGGGCCGGTACTTATTACATCTCGAACTTTTACAAATTCATTTAATCGTATTTAAAGCTAATTAAACAATTAAATACATACTTAATAGGGATCACAGATATAATTATTCAGTGATAATAAATATAAATAAATTTTTAAAGTTTTAATTTTCTTATTATTATAATATTAGTAGAAAGAGTTGATAAATGATTGTGGATGTCCGTTCACAAACAAAAAACAGTTAAAAGTATAAAAGTGGTAAAAAAATGTTTTGAAATATTAAAATAATACAAAATTTAAAAAATTATAAAATAAATAAATTGTATCAATTTAGTATAATTTTATTACAAAATAAATGATGTCAACGATTTTAACTCATTAAAATAAATTGTATTACGACTTTAACTAAAATAAAATCATAAAATGTTAATACGATTTCAATTAAAATTTAAAAAAAAGTTACAATATAATAAAGTCATTCTAAATTTATAAAACTTTAATTATGATTTTATTTTATATTAAAACTCATTGAAATAATAATAATAATAATAATAATATTATTTTAATTAAAATTTATAAAAAGCCTGAATGGTATCAAGTTAACACCACTTGCAGTAACTCAAAATTATACGAACCTGAACCCACTTAGTTTTTCCCTAAAATAAACAAAGAAATATCAAGACGCACTTCCTAACTAAATTAATTAATTACTTAAATAGAAAAAATTGCGAAACAGCGCATGAGTTAACCAAGCTAACTTAATTACGGGGAAGCAAACTTTATAATATTAATTAATTCTTCCGAAATGTCGATTATACCACTAATTAATCTCTACCTCGCACCCACGTTTAAGGTTTTTTCAACTTACAGAAGCAAATGCAACTTGTCAACAGTTACTGTATCTAATTCGAACATCCATCGCCACCGATGGCAACATCGCCGGCACCGTCATCCTGCGGCGGAGGAGAAGAGTGCGACATGAGGCTTAGAAGAAGATCAGAAAAAGCGCAGAGGATGAACTTGTGCGTGCTCCTCGGGTTGAGCGCGAGGTAGCAGAAAAGAAGCTCTTTCCAATTAGCCTCCACGTCGATCAACTCGGGACTCGCCGCAACCATCTCCTCCATGGAGCGCCGGAAATCCTCGTAGGGGTCCAGCGAGTACATCTCTACCGCAACGCTGCCTTCGAGCGCCGTTTTCGCCTTTTCGTCGACGGTGGCGACTGGATTTCCCAGCGAGGACGAGGAGGTAGCGCAATCGGTGTCGGTGATGGTGGATTCGACGATGGAGTTGGAGCGGCCGGGGTAAGTGAAGAAGAAGCGGTGGGAGACGAAAGCGGAGGCCAGCTCAGCAGGTTCGGGTTCGGGTCCGAGATTCGGGAATGGGTTAGTAGGGTCGTAGTTGAAGTTCTTGATCGGGGACGGTGACGTGGCGGGTTGTGATAAAGGTTTTTTGTTTTGATTCTGAAGAACGGTTGAAGAGGTGGCAGCAGGGGAAGATTGTGGTGTGAACGATTGCATGGGAACTGAGAAACATAGGTTCAAGTTCAAGCGGCTAAGGTTGTATCTTTTTCTTCTTCTTTCTCCAGTTCGCGGCATGTTTGGCATCATGCATTGTTGGTTTAGGCGAATTGGTATAGAGCATATATCTATATATATATATATATATATATTAATAATTTTTATTGCACGGATGAGATAAATTATTTCTTTTTTCCGAAAAAGAAAAAAGGTAAATGTAAGAGAAAGGGATTCTGTAGTTTTGGGGTTGGTACGACTTCAAGGGTGACGGGACAGCAGTAGAACAAACTGGTATTAAAATCGGACCCACTCTCTTCGATCAAACCATTGATTTCTTTTCCTCTAAGGCGCGTAGCTGCACGGCCTCAACAGTTTTTTTCTCTCTACTTTCTACCCTGAAAGAGACAACTTTTACATGCATTTCTTATCATTCAGATCAAATTTAATTAAATGGGGTTATTTAAGATTGTTTTAGGTGTTATTCAGTTAAAGTTTAAATTCTGTCTTATAATTATTCCAAGTTTACCATTAATCAATGCAGGTTTTTATTATGGGGATATCAAAATGAAATTTTAATTTTGTTTGAAAAATAATAATATTAAGAACAATTCAGAATTCTAATATTGTAATTGTAACCAGATTACTCCCAGGAGTGTGAATAAAAGGAAAAAAAGATAGAAACAACAACCAACAAACACAGTCGTTAGCATTAAAGAAATAAGGTGGTTATGGGGAATAACAAAGTATCAGGGTTGAAGAAAGAAAAAATTGTATACTTGTACATAGGTAGGTATGATATTAAGGGTAGCAATGAAAATTAACTAAATGTTAGTTAATATCCGTCAATACGAAAAATGTATACACTGTTGAAATATAGAAAATGAAAATTTTCAAGAGATAGAGTCATGGTGTAGATAATATCCACGGGTTGATTGCAAATCGGATAAAAAAAATTGAGGTATTGTGAATTCAGTATTTATTATACTTTCTAGTACGATTGGGACATGGCTGATCAACGAGGGTGGACAAATTCGTCCTTTAAAATGTAATGAAATTCTAAATAATAGAGTTAAATATATTATTCGTTTATAAATTTAAACGTAAATTAGAAATTTTTTATCTTAAATTTTTATATATTTTGGTTTTTAAATTTTAAAAATAATTGAATACAATTTTTTTAATTTAATTATATTATTTTTTTATATGTTAAACAATATTTTAGATCGACAATGTGTCAAAAGTATAAATGGTTCAAACACAATATTGAAATGTTATTTGATACATCAAAATAATTTAACTTAATTCGATAAAAGAAACTATATTTATTTATTTTTAAATCTTAAAAACCAAAATGTATGAATGTCAGACCTCATTTAAAACGCACTCAAAAACCCCTCTGAACGGACGTCAGGTGTCAAGCAGCAAGGATTAGAAATCAGATAGTGGGATGCAGGTGTCAGCAGAAGAGCGGACGCTCGTTTGACGTGGGAAGAAAAACGATTTTTTTTCTGAAACCTCCTTCCCACTCTCTTCTGCATGCAACCTTCTTCCCAAAACTCTGAACTTCTCATTCTCCTCCTTCTCACTAGAAACTCTTTCTTCTCTCTAAGAAATCTCACCCTTTCTCTACTCCGATCTACGTTCAGGCACCGTAGAAACGTTCCCGGCGTCCTGAGCTTCATTCTGAGCCAAACAGTTTCGGTTTCTGATCTGGTAAGTCTTTTCTCCTTTCGTCGTTCGTTTTCTGGCTCATGCAAACCAACTCCTGGTTGCATGAGTTCGTAGTACTCTTCTGAAATAGTTTGTCTGTTTGTTTTGCTTTGAAGAGTTGATTGAATGTTGAGGGTAGGAGAATCTTAGTCAGGCAAACCGCAATCCTATATCTTGAACGATCGTTCACGCTAGAGGTAAGGGAAGCTTATTTAATTTAATTTGTATGTTTACGGTGTTGTATGAACGTTCGTTCAAGTTGCTAATTTAAAGTGAAGTATGATTATTGTGATATTTGACTATATGATATTTGATGGTTGCTATGTTCTGATGTATGAAATATATGAAACTTATATGATATGGATCTTATGAAGTATGAAAGTTGATTATGATATGAATGTATAAGTTTGAAACTATATGTTAAGAAATGAGTTTGAAAACAAATGATTTTGGTATGAAATTTCTCATATGAAGTGTACGTTCGTTACTGAACGGTCATTGACCGTTCGGTTTTTTCTGGTAAACATAGTTGAACATGGGATCTTTCATTTGGAGAGAATCCTAGTTGAGGCGGCGTCTCGTATGGTAATACTATGCTTGAAGCGTTCGACCAAGCACAAGTTGTATCTGGGTATCCTGTGCTAAACTTAAATTTTATATATTATGTAATTGTATATTATCGTTGTTCGTAAATACTACTTCAAAGTAACCTTGGCATAATTATCAAGTTTCTTTTATATAAGTTAGTGGCCACCATGGTCTTATACCAAGTGTTCGTCGTAAGCAAGGTTGGTCTTACCACCAGGCATTCGTTTCTATCTCCTTAAGCTAAATTCCTTATATGAACGTTCGTTCAAGCCCTCTTAGGGTTTCGCTCATATAGTGTTCAGTTTTGCTGTCATTGGTTACTTGGTCTTAAAACTCATTAAACTAAATATTCACAGACGTTCGGTCTCGTCATGTGAGGCATTTAGGATTATCTTTTGTGCCTTGAATATTCCCTCCCTAATCTCCTACCCTATTTCACTCTGGACTCCTCTTCTTGGTTTAGTCTTTGAACTGTCTCAGATGACAATTCTCAAGAGTCGGTTCATCTAATTGGCTCAGCGTTGAAATTGACGTTCGTTCATTCTGTTTCTTGGAATATATTATTGTGCCTCGCTATCTTTCTTAAAACCGATGTTCAACCTTTGTCTTAATCCATTCTCAAATTTGAAGATCGCTCTGTCTTGCTCTATGTGTTCGGCCTTATTTTGAGTCGGGTTGAACGTTCGTTTTGGGAATCCTCATGATAATCTCTTGTACGAGGTTGGGGTATTAAATGAGGATGTTTATTAATAAAAGATGAGAAGAAAATGTAATATGGAAATGCGTGTTGATTATGGAACGAGCGTTCCGGGGAGTGAACGCCTCTGGTTGAATACTGGATTTGGTAAGTATGACGTGGGCATGCTAAGCTGGTTCATCCTAATGGTTCCGGGGTACGTCTCTTATGTAGAGGAGGGTATAGGTCATGTGTGGGAAAGCAGGACGAGGGAGGTCCTATCCTTAGGGGGGGTACTTTGGACGATAGGGCTAACCTTGGGTGGCCAGCGTGTGTGTAGTGTATCCCAGTTACTACATCACTCGGGTGCAGAACGCCTGTTGACTACACAATTCATACCTCCGGCACGGTCAGTC